CGAAGGAAATTTTCGAGAAATGAACTAAACGAACAAGGTACAATATTTAAAAATTCACAAGCAAATAATTTAAATACTAAATACACTTTTACATTTTTCGTTTATTTCAAAATTGTAAACAAACCAAATCGGGGAGTTAATTTTGCCCCACTCTGTATTATGACTAAATAGTTTCTTATGCATTTCAAAATACATTTAATAATGTATATGAAATATATTGCTTCATCAATAATTAATAGATATTCTAGTAAATACTGGCAGCGAATGTCAAGTTTGGTAATTGATTATTCATTTATTGCCAAATCTCTCTGTATTAATACGGCTGAAAGTCCGATAATCGGATGAAATGCGGAGCCGGGTCACGTCTGACCCATCATAAGATTTGTTTGTCTGTAAGTATTGACATACATCAGAGAGTCAATTGTTTCCGTCAGATTTTTATCTAAATGCATTAAAATACATTTCTCAGTAAAAAAAAAGGAATAGAAATGATTTTGTTTGTTACCGTGATATTATTTCTCGGTTGGAAGATATCACGATGGATGTTTCCCTATTGGTTGTTTAGTTTTAGGTTAAACTTCGTTGTTCGTTTTTTTTTTAATATGTACACACCGTACACGCTCTGCTTCTTTCCGTACATGTTCTGGTTTCGGGCTTGCGAAAGCTACCTTTATACATCTTTTTGTAGCTGCTAATGCGGAAAAAGGGCCAATCAACGCCTTTCCTAGAAAAAGGCCTCTTTCGCGAACCCTTATTGGCAGGTAGATAGAAGCGATGCAAGTCAACGGTGGGGGTGATCGGTCGCGTGGTTCGTGTTGAGGACACGACAGATTTTGAAATTTCCTCTGCACCTCTACGCACGTAAAAAGTATTTACATCGCATCATCCGTATCCTGCAAGTTCTATTGTATATTTTTCCGTATTATTAAAAACAGCGGAAATATTCCAGGTGGACAAAGTTTCTGCCCCACCTTCCATTTACACGTGAATAATACGGGTCACAGATGACCCAGCTACAGGTCACTGCTGAATCGCGTAAACACGATATCGCTCGTGTTGAAGCGATGCTAACGACACTGTAAGAGTAGCCTTTAATTAGTATAATTTCAACACCTAACGATGATTTCACGAGCCATACAGAATGGAGGTACAAAAAAGTTAATAAACGAGTGCTCGGTTTCAGAGAAATCAACAGTTTCCTGTTTGTCCTGAAAAAAAGCTTCCAGAGATATGGTTTTTTTCAGTGTACGAGTCAGATGTGTCGCAGAAGTAGCTTTAAACCATAAACTGACGTGTAGATCGCGTGCTGCATGCAGGAGCCTTAGTGGAAAGCACGTGATCTGAGTTTCGCGCTTTATCGTACACACGCGTTACGTTTGGCCACGTGCGTATGTATACCTACATATATATACATATAACCGCGTGGCACCGAGCACAGACTCAACCACGGTGCTTTAATTATAGATCAGGGAGCCCTTCTTCTTTCCTTCGTCTACCCTCGACACCGCGAAATTGGAAAGGCAACGACGACTCGCGCTCGTTCCTCTCAAACCGAGGGTAGTGAAACTTCCCCGAAGAGTTTACGAAAAATTTCTTCAAAAAGTTTCGTTTAAACGGTTTCGTACCAGCATACCAATGTGCACTGTCGTTTAGAAATATTAGGACATCTATTATGTTCGTACACAAAGTACTGTGTGGTTTAAATTAAATTTTCCCGCCAAAGTTAGCACCATACGAGTCGTTTATTTTGAAAGTGCAAGAAAGAGGCAAGCGCAATTTTTTAAGAAAATGAAGTTAGTGATAACAATCGATAGAACTTAATATGATCTTTTTATCTGTAAACAGTCTATGGTCGAAACGAAAAATGGACTTGCCCCACTTTCAAAATAAAGGGCTCATCAATAAAAATACATTATGGGGATTGAATATAATCAAAAATATTGGCGATATGAAAAATTGATGTATTTTAGGGAGCTCACTTTTCGGCGTAATTTAATTTTCTGTACGCGAAGATGTCGAAGTCATTTTCAGGTCATCTAATTTTTTTTAAACAGAACTGTATATTTTTCAATAAACTAATTGTTAGTAAAGTGCACACACAATACCGATGACCGGTAAATAAACTTTCACAGAGAATACGTTGAACGTATAATTACATATTAAATACCATGCCTGCTAAGATGAATGCCTAACTTCCAAATATTAATATTCGATATCACGTCATCGTGGACGTTGAAAAAGTTTGCGAAAGACTACTTAAAAGAACTTTATTTTAAAATGTTCCATAAGTTTAGTAGGTCGTTGAAGAGTTAAATAATGTGTTCGATAACTTTGTGAGGCTCCTTTCGTGAGGGGAACTTTCAATACGGTTCAACGTCGGAGAAGCTATTAAGTGAAATGAATTTTACTTCATAATCTTCAACAGGAGTCGCTTTTTATAATATACAGGCTAGGGCAGAAACTTTGTCCACCTGGAATATTTCCGTTATTCATAATAACATGGAAAAATGTTATAGAAGAGGACATAATGTGATGTGAATATTTTTTACGTGGGTGAAAACATAGAAGAGAAAACATCCCATTTAAAAAAATAGAAATGACCTAGAAATCTCATCTACGCCTCCATCAATGTAAAAAGTATTTACATCACATTATATCCCCCTCAATATCATGCAACTTTTGTATGTAACATTTTTCCATATTATTACGAATGACGGAAATATTCCAGGTGGATGAAGTTTTTAAAGTTATAACTCGGTTGTTATTGAAGATAGAAACAAATTGTAGAGGAACAGCTGAACAATGGGATGAAGAGTGAAAAAAGCGTGTAGGAAAATGTTTATACATCGTTCAAAATTAGAGTAACCTCGCTTCGCGCATGGGGCGTGCCTAAGGCAGGGCTAGAACGTCCAAACCCCCACTTAACCGCCTACGTTTCTCTCCGTCTTACCCTCTGCTACGCTCTCTGTACCTATGCGCAGAACGGACGAGAATCGGTCCGAGAGCGAGGTTACTCTTATTTTGAACGATGTATAGAATGCAATGGTGGAACATTTACTCTACATGCTGGAAAGAGAGGTGAATATTTCGAAAAATATTGAGTTTTTCAGGATTGCACCCTAATACTTTTTCATTCAGAATAGCACGAGGAACCGATTCATGCAAAAAAAAAAAAAAAAATAGTCAGAGTAGCATTTCAAAAACGAGTGCATTTGCACTTTACAACTGCATCGATGCACAGCTTATTGAACCATGCAAAACTTTCCTGTACAATTTTTTTCTACCTTCAATACCAACCTAGTTATAACTCGTAGGTACACCCTGTATAAAGTGTCACTTTATTTTTAACAATTCCCTAAAATATCTCCGCGTACATAATTATTATCAAATAATTTCATCCTGAAAATTACCCTTGTCTCCACTGTTACGGAGCGAGCACAGTTGGTTGAAAATAAAATTCGCTAACTGCGAGGCTAAACGGGACGCTTCAATCATAAACTCAGTCTCCGGCCGAGCCATTTAGGATATCAAGCAATGGTGAAGTGCTGACTGTACTTATGAAAATGGGAAATGGGCTCGTTAAAGAGCAACCGTACAAAGTTACCAATTTACGTCATCTTAGTTCATCATGTTTGAACGAATTGTACAATTACCAAGGGAAGTATTGTACAAATATTAGAAAGACCAACGTAAAATAAATTTCGCGAAATTAAGAAGTGAAACGTAGAAAATACAAGTTTATTTCATTTCTTTATTCTGCTTATGATGTAATTGTAAGTGTTCCCAACTGTTCCTTAACCTTTCTTATAATTTTTCTTGAAAATTAATACTTTAAGTAGAAAATTAGGAACTTTACGTTGTAATCGTTACGCTAATCCGCCCTGCGTTTACTGGAGATTATGCAAACAAGAAACACGAAGAGGTAGTATCCTGACAATGAGTGGTGCAACGCGACTTCGTGAATCTATCCGAATGTGACGCAGCTCGTTATCACTCACAGGGAACGCTATTCAACTGACGGTAAAATCGCACAGATTTTTTTTGTATAGATCGGAAGTATATGCCACAAAGGTCACGAAAATGTAAAATAAAAATGCTACCAAAGGCTGGTCTGGCTTTGAGAGATCAAC